TTTTCTTTGTTTATAAAAACCATTTATTTCTGAGCCATTTGAGAGTAAGTTATACACATCATGACATTACACCCTAAAAACACCAAAGCTGAGCATAATTTACCCCCAATAGTGGTTATTTAGCTTGGCATTTGTATTAGTGACTTAAACTGCAGTTATCTAGGTGGGGTTGGTCAATTTACATTGTTACCAAATCAAATTCTGTTTTTATTGAATCTGTTCTCAAAACTGCAATTTTTTCCCCTAGTAACTCCAATGGGAACAGGTAGCAATCGACCTCAGGAAATAGAAATTGGAGAATCTGGTTTTGCTCTATTATTTCCTCAAATTGAAGGAATAAAAATACAGCCCTTTCATTTTACTAAAGATCCAAAGAACTTAACACTTGAAAGACATCAACTTACTGAAGTAGGTAAGTTACTGTTATTTATTATTAATTGTTTTGTTGGTTAACTTTGTTTTAACTTTGGCTTGTTGGTGGATATTAGTTTCCCTTAAGAAAATCCAAATGAAGTACACCTGTTACTGGCAACATGGCTAATTCAAGCCAGTGATTCACAGAAGCTAGTACTGTACATTTTGTTTTTTTTTGTTTTTGGTGTCAAATCATTTTATTGAGAAGGTTGGAGATTAAGGAGTGCGGAAGTGCTGAAATTAACGATTAAATCCGACGTCCGCTGCAGGGCCAGACCTTGCCGCCGCTGAAAAGCAGTACTGTACATTTTGTTAGAATTGGTTTGCTTTTTAAATAGTTTGCCTTAAAGCCCAAGAGGACAGAATGAAAACAATTACATTAGTGCTCTGTGGATAATAAATTTATTTGTATTTAATTATGGATTTTGAAGGAATTCTTGCTCTTTGAATAGTGTCTTATAGTTTTGCCTAGTTTTGTTTTTGTAAGCTGAAAAGTATTTTACACTTATAAATAAACATTTATTATAAAAGGTTTTAGAAGAAACAAGTTGTCTCTAAGTGGACTAATAAGATAGGAACTGGCATAGTGAAATTGGGAAGTGTTAGGAAAGGTCTGGGAAGGCACAGTCTATCCATATTCAGGGTTGTACTGGGACCAAAAGACAGGAAGTGTGGCTGGAAGAGGTGAATCATGAGAGGTGAATGTGAAGAGGTAGAGGGCTGGCTGTGGGTCCAAGTTTTGATGAAAAAAACTTAATGCAGTAAGCAACAAACTAGCTACTTAAGCAAAACATTGTGAAGGCCTTTTACCTACATCCGCAAATAAACTGATTGGACTTTAACTCATTAAAGTTAAGGTACAGATAAGTCTCCATTATTTGAAGTGGCACTTATCCCAGCAGGAATTTAAAAAAAAAAAAAATGTGTAGCAACAAAGAGAAGATTTGGTTGGTTTAGTAATCAGGGGGAAAAAAGGACTAGCCACATTAAGACTAGTTTTTACAACTACCCCTGACAATGTAAAAAAGGCCAAAACACAAAATTTGGGCATCAGCAACTAAGACTAGCAGCTATGAGCAGCAGGCCATTTAATTGGAGGATGGCAGACATATTTAGGAAGAGTATGGAAAGTTTAAACAGCCAGCTCTGTGAGGCAGGGTAGTGTAGCTATTGAGAATTCAGTTTTTTATCTGCCCTAGTTCTGCTACTGTCCAGGCTTTTAGGATGAGTTTCTTAACTTTTCTAAACCTGTTTACTTTTCTATAAAGTGAAAATAACTACAGAGTTATGGAGATTAAATGAATGACTTATGTAAAGCACAAGGGCCTGAAGAGAAGGCAATCAGTTGGAGGAAATTAACAAATGATTAGATCTAAGGGAGTAGAGAGACTGGGGGACTTAGTGATAACTTCTGAATTTTGTATCTAGGAGATAGGGATAGTGGTGATTCAGAGAGCAGATGTAGGGAACTCTGGGACAGAAGCAGCAAGATGTGGGAGAAACAATTAGGAAAATCAGACCCCCTCTGAGACACTTGTTTTGGCTTTTGATTTAATGTTTTTGCTGAAGGCTTTCTGGCCAAATCTTTTTGCTTCCTTTGTCTGGAGGAGTGGTATGCCTCCCTGGGCAGTTCTTCCTCCTCTGTTATCCTGGGCACCTTGGGAGTCTTCGGTGGGGTTCTTATACGTAGCCCTGGTTGAAGCTAGAATCCTCATTTTGTCAGTTCAAAAGAAAGCCAAAATCTTGAGCAGAAGAAAGCATCCATTTTATGATAAAATTGTAATTTTTGTTAGACCATGTTTGCTTTGTGGACCAAATGTAGGAGTGGGGACACAGCCCCAGGTTTATCCTGCTTGGTGATGCTTTCATATACTGTCCTTTTCTGAGCTACTTGCTGTGATCAGTTTGAGCCAAGGCATCATTTTCATCCTTTGGGAAACTGAAGCGTTGCCTAGATTGGGATGGTAATTTCTGTTCTCTCATGCTGTCTTATGTCCCACTTTTATGTGTTTCTAAATTTGGACCATCTCAATTAGACAAGGAGTGAGTGAGTGGCTGGAGGCTGTGATGTGGGGCCTGGGTTGCTGAACCAGATACCTGGGGCCAGATCCTTTTCTTGTCTTTTATGACACTGGAAGCATTCTGTTCATATCAGTGTCCCTCAAAGTTTTTCTGTAAGGGGCCAGATAGTAAATGTTTTAGGTTTTGCCAGCCAGATAGTCTTAGGTGCATCCGTTCAGCTCTGCTGTGGGAGTGCAAATGCAGTTGGCCGTGCGTAGAAGAATGGCTGTGCTCAGATGAAGTTCTGTTTAGAGAGAGAGAGAGAGGATGTGGGCTGGATTTGGCCTAGGGACTTAGTTTGTCTTCACTTACTTTATCGTACATAACTGCAGCAACTATAAGATGTCCTGTGAAAGGCTCACAATAAGCAAAGGGACTAAATTCTCTTATAAAACTGGCAATGGCCCTGAAGACAAGGGATCTTGTGTTTGATTTAATTATAGTTCTACTAGCTAGACCCTGCATATAGGAGATGACATAATCTGACCTAGTGTCATAGTATATATAATTTTATACAATACTGTTATATTCTTTTTGGAGGAATCTTACCAGAATGTGCATTAAGAGAGTAGGTGTAGATTGTTGTAAGGTCTGTATGATATTCTGTGTTAAAATTAGTCTCTGGAATGAGAAGGGGGTGCAAAACCCACAATTGATTCTTAAGGATGTAAAAACTATCTACTTAAGGATGTAAAAACTATCTACTATCTCAGTAAAATTTCATAAAAAGCCATTACTTATTCATTGAAAATCAGTTTGTGGAGCTAGAGTTATGGCTCAGTGGTAGAGCGCTTGCCTAGCAAGCGTGAGGCACTGGGTTTAATTCTCAGGAGCACATATAAATAAATAAAAAATAAAGGTGCATTAACTAAAAAATATTTTTGGAAAATTTGAAAAAAGAAAAACTGGGTATATGCTGCATGTAAACCTCTGTTTGTGATGACATTGTCCCGGCCTTCTGGACCTCCCAGTCAGCAGGGCAGGCCGACTGAATGAAAAACCATACTGCCAGGTAGAAGCACAGATGTGCTAGAAAACATACAACCAGGGGGCTTAATAGACTTAATAGAACCTTGGGAAGATGGAAAGGAGGCTTGGGTAGGAAGGAGTATCGTGGGTGGTTTTTATATTCTTTGCTGGTCGCTGACAAAAAACCCCAGCAAGATAGCCAAGAGATCAAAGAATGAAATAGAAAAACCTGGTAATTCCCGTGAGGGTGTAGAAGTGAGTTCCCACAGCTCAGTTGGGAAACCTAAAGAATATCCTGCCTGGGAGGCATGAGAGGAGGGGTCTGTGATGGAAGCTGAACCCGCAGGCAGAGGCCAGTCAGGAAGGCCAAAGGAGGACTGTTGGGAAGCTAGGAGTCTCAACACAGGAATGGCATGATCAGAAATGTCTCTGGAAAATGCCACTGTGGCTGCAGGGTGCTGGTCGTTGTAGAGTAGCACAGGAGTGGATGCAGGATGAGTTCAGTTTGCTTTGTAGTGTACATATTTCAAAACATTATCTTGTACATAATAGCTATATATTCACATTAAATTTTTTAAAAATCAGATGCAGGAAAAACAGGATGCTGTTGTATTGGTTAAGGCAAGAAGAAGTGGCATTTTGGGCAAGGGTGGTAGCGGGTGGAGTTGAAGAGAAGTAGATCAATTCCAGAGAAGGTTCAGAGGTAAATGGATGGCATGTGGTGACTGATGCAATATTTGACGTTGAGAATAAGAGAAGTGGCATTGATCTCACCTAGGTTTTTGGCTGGGTACAGTTTCACAGTAAAGAATGGACTAGAAGGTGCAGTTTGGAGGAATCAAGTTATTAAAAGTTGTTTTGAGGGGCTGGGGATGTGGCTCAAGCGGTAGTGTGCTCGCCTGGCATGCGTGCGGCGCTGGGTTCAATCCTCAGCACCACATATAAATAAAGATGTTGTGTCTGCCGAAAAACTAAAGAATAAATATTAAAAAAAAAACAAAAAAAAAAAAACTTCTCTCTCTCTCTCAAAAAAAAAAGTTGTTTTGAACATGTTGAATTTGAGATGGAGATAGTAAGTAGACAGTTGACTGTCAGAGCTCAGGAGAGTGGTCGGGATGCAGGATGCAAATTTGAGAACCATCAGGTGATGAATGGTAACTGAAGCAAAGGGGACTGACCGGCTTCAGTGATGTGAAGCTGGGAGGGAAGGCACTCATCAGTGTGTTGACGGCCCTGGGCTTACTGAAGTAATATTTCTGTCATATCCCTCCCTTTTGCACTGAAGACTTTATTGAGACTACTCAGTAAGTAGATTGAGTAATTTCCTAACTTTTCTTTGAATAGCCATGACATTATCTTGGGCTAGTCACTTCTTTGGGGTTATCAATTTTGTTTGTAAAATAAGATTAGACCCTTGATCCAGAGGCATTTTCTAACTGAAAATCTGTTTTATAATTTTTTTTTTCTCTCAGAATTTGCTAGGCTGGTCTATAATAGAAGAAAAAGACACTTTAGTAGTGATCTGTGAGACCCGGTATTATGAAATAACAACATCCTTTCATTATTCAGATCAGTAATTTATTGTGTAGAGAATAAGAAATGACCCAGAGGCAGTTTCCCAGAATCATTATTTGATTTTGGTAATTAGTCATTTTTCTACCCCCATATTTTGTTGAACGAGCCTTATTTCTAGTAACCTCACCTTTGGTCTATCAAGATGGAAGTCATGTGGCCAAATCAAATGGAAACACGAGTGTGGTTAGGTTTTGGATTTCTTTCCTGTCCCAGAAGCCACTCTGTTTGATAATGCTATTGAATTTCTAATTGATGTTCAAAAACAAGGTGCCAGAGGCTCAAGTGAAACCCTGGGAGGGAGCTTTGGGAGCCCAAACACAGCCTGATCCCTAGGACTCTGCCGCCCCCTGTTGCTAGCTGCTTTTAGTCCGTATGCCACAGGTCAAACCTGTTCCTGTTTTCCAAAGGCTAATCCACCTTCACTCCCACCTATTCCCTGCAGTAGGTGGACAGATCCTGTATTTCTGTGGTATAGTAGTTTCCCAAGGCTGCTGTAAGAAAGTACCTTGATGACTTAAAACACCACAGATTTATTCTGTCACATTTAAGCAGTCAGAAGTCTGAAATCAAGGTATCAGTAGCGCCCCACTCCTGGAGGCTCTACGGGCAAATCTGATGTCTCTTTCTGCTTTTATAGCCGCTGACGTTTCTTATGGTTGCGTCGCTGCAGTTTCTACTTCTGTGGTCACATTGCCTCCTCCTCTGTCTGTCTCCTTTGTCTGTCTTTTATTTTAAGGGCACTTGTCATTGGACTTAAGTGTCCACCTGGATAATTCAGGTGATCTCATTTCAAGATCCTTAGTGAGGTCTGAAAAGATTCTTTTTCCAAAAAGAGGCTCACATTGATAGATTGGGTTTAAGGTGGATATACACTGTAGGGGGTACCATTTACCCCACTACATGTAGTTGGTGCGTTTTGTCTGCAATTTCTTTGGCTCTTTAAATTCCTCAGCTGATAATCCTATTGTTCTCTGCAAACCAGTGTCCCTTTCATTTCAGGTGGTGATCTGTTTGGAACCAGCTGTGTCCATAGAGAGCTGCTGCTCAGTACATAATTGCTTTCTTACTTGTTGGGTATTGATTGTATTATTTTCAAACAGGTTTTCTAATGAAAAAAAATAATTGCAGCTAAGAATTTGAGTTAGTATTTAAAAGTTTGTAAAAAATGGGAAACTTGACAGCTGAAGCACTAAATTGCACTTCCTTAGGAGTGCCAGTAATTAGCAGTAGCATTTCATTTTGCAAGATGTATAAGATAATTCCTCTTCTAAGGCTGTTTTTAATTATTGCTTTTCGTTTCTCTGCAGGTCTTCTAGATAACCCTGAACTTCGCGTGGTCCTCGTCTTTGGCTATAATTGCTGCAAGGTGGGAGCCAGTAATTACCTGCAGCGAGTAGTCAGCACTTTCAGTGATATGAATATCATCTTGGCTGGAGGCCAGGTGGACAACCTGTCATCATTTACTTCTGAAAAGTAAGCTTTCTGTGCTTCTGATTTCTTCTGTGAACGAAGGGAAATGGTCTCAGGTTTTCATTACTGTAGACTTAGGTTAAGGGGCTTACTCAACATAATTCTGCTTATAGTTGAAGAATTAAACATAACTTGTATTGTCCTTTAAGAATGTCTTCTTAGTTGGACTCACATTCTTCTTAAAATTGATTTTCAACATTGCCTGTTGATCAGTTCTGGCACTCTGTGACCTCAGTATATGCCATTTCTGCATAACAAGAAATCATAAATTAAGTTAAAATAAAATAAAAGCAAAGGCATTTTTCCCCCAAGTACAGAATAGATTTGCTAATCAGGGACACAGGTTCAATTAGAAACCAGACAAATGTTTTGTTGTTAAGGGGAAAGAGGACTAGGTTTTTAAAGGGAAAGGGGGAGGAATGGATTGACTCTGCTGCTCAAGTTGTTTTCAGTGACTTTAGATTGAGGTTGGGGTCTGTCCACATGTTAAGCTGTATAGTATAAGGGGCTGTTGCAAGAATGTCATCAGTAAGCAGTCTTTTGAGACAGACAGCTAGTTAGTCTAAGCTCCATGACTGGAAAATGTTGTAGGCAGTAGGATAACAAATACTAGTCTAGGGTCTTATATTCTTTTTAGACAGCATTGTTTGGAGGTTAAAGATGGAGGCAAACTGCAGCCTTTCAGTGTGTTCTAAGGCTCACAGAGGAATTCTCTTGAGCAAACTATAGCCATTTTATTTCCACACTTTCTCTGTTTTTCCTTCTTTAAAAGGACATATATGGTTAAAGTGTATTTTCAGGGCAGAACTTCCCAGACAGAGCCTCTAATATGTTCAGTGTTTTAGAAATCTTCTGGTGTTAGGGATGTGGGGTGGAATAACATCTGTGGCAGTTCTCAAATCTGTTTGGTCACAAAACCTTTTCTCCATGGAACATCTTGCAGGTATTTTATTGGTTTTCAACATATAATTTTAGAAATTCTGTACCATTTTGAAAGGTTGTTTCAAGTCTGAAAATTGATTTTATTACTAAAACTTTTGCTTTCAGAGATAGAAATATCCTATCTTTGGATCCATTATTTCCTTCTCAATCTTGTTTCATTTTGTTGCTGCACAGGGTCTCTATTTCAAATTTGAGTTTGAGCTCTGGACATGTTTCTGAAAGCAGTAACATGCACTCCTACTCCACCCCCAATGCCATCTCTAAACACTAGTATTTATTCCTCACTGTATTTGTGTTTAGTATTTGGATCCTGGAATGGTGACATGGGACAAAGAGTAATATACATCATCCCAGTTACAGGGTCTCTCCTGCTAGCCTCCATTGATGTACCAGGGAAAGTAAACAGCTAAGTCCAATGTCCCTGGACTGCAAGTGAGAAAGAAAGTACATTAAATTTTAGACAGTAGGATAACAAATACTAGACTTTACATACATCTGAATCTCAGTGGCACTATCTATTTTCCCTCTTCCCTAGATTTTCTTCTTTGCTATTACCTTTAAACTGTAAATAAACCAATGGTGATTTAACATCTATTTCAGACTTATAAATCTATTGGTGTGGCTATTTATCATCTATTTTTTATACCAATATGGGAAATAAGTCCCCTGAAATAATTACACCTCACACATTAATTTTAATGTACTCTTTGTTCTCTGTCAGTGGCTAAGAGAGTCCATAAATGTTCCATCTTAACAGCGAGCGGATACCCCAACCTGCCTCAGCCCCCCAAAAGATAAATAATTGAGGCAAGAAAGTGACAACATGTATTACAATTGTATGCCAAAGAGGAAATGTGACAAAAGGGAACCTAAAAAGAAGATGGAGGGGCTGGGGTTGTAGCTCAGTGGTTGAGCAATTGCCTTGCATGCATGACGAATTGGGTTTGATACTCAGCACCACATAAAAAACGTAAATAAATAAATAAATAGATAGATAGATATTGTGTCCATCTACAACTAAAAACAATTAAAAAAAAAAAAAAGATGGACTCTGCCTCTTTCAAACTGGTTTTGCACAGGCTGTTCTTATTGAGTCTGGTTTCCTGCTAGCCCAGTGAATCTTAACCATTTTATAGATTCATATGTTGATAAAATGAGAGAAATTAGAAATGTAAGGCATTTACTTTGTTTCCCCTAGTGGGTGTTCACTATCTATACTTTATAACTCTGATATTTTCTAAGGATGAAATTTCATTTAAAAAAAAAAAGTGCCAGGTAAATAAAGACAATGCAGAAGTCCTTATGATCAGACTAAGCCAAATTCTAGGCTCAAAGTAAGTATTTGTTTACACAACAAACATAAAGCTAAGACTTCTGGAGTATTAACTTTTAAAATTCCATGATTATTTTTAATTATTTAAAATTAATTTTTAATTCATTTTAAATGATTATTTTTAATTATTTAAAATTTAATTATATTTAATTATTTAAAATTAAGTTTTAAAATTCCATGATTATTTTTAAATATATCTCTTTCAGAATTTGACAGGTGGTAGGGAAGAATACCACAGTGTAAATCATACCAAGAAGCTTCACTAACTAGGTTTCTAAATGAGAAAATATTGGTGAATTTGCATGACATATCTTTGTATTTGTGGCTGAAAAGGACAGCTGCTTACTTCTTGATCTGCCTTCAGCAATCTAACATACCACTTATATCTGGGATATGGTCTTTGACCAAGCAGAGGCTGCTAAAGGTAGCAGTGTCTCTCCCTCAGTGCATCATAGGGGTTTTCTTCTATACTTTAGGTATTTCATGATACATTGCCCCTCTTCTATTTTTTCAGAAACCCTCTGGATATTGATGCCACAGGCGTGGCTGGACTGTCATTTAGTGGGCACCGAATCCAGAGTGCCACGGTGCTTCTTAATGAGGATGTCAATGATGAGAAGACTGCTGAGGCGGCCATGCAGCGCCTGAAAGCAGCCAACATTCCAGAACAGAATACCATTGGCTTCATGTTTGCATGCGTTGGCAGGGGCTTTCAGTATTATAGAGCCAAAGGGAATGTCGAGGCTGATGCATTTAGGAAGTTTTTTCCTAATGTTCCCTTGTTTGGCTTCTTTGGAAATGGAGAAATTGGATGTGACCGGATAGTCACTGGGAACTTTATATTGAGAAAATGTAACGAGGTAAAGGATGATGATCTGTTTCACAGCTATACAACAATAATGGCACTGATTCACCTGGGGTCATCTAAATAAAGCCATCTTTAAAGTGGCTTTTGCAGTATTCAAAGTATTGACTTTCAACTTCTGCCTTTTCCACAAAATGGAAACTTGGGATATGTATATTTCAGAAAAAGGTAACTTTAGCTCTGTCTGTTCTGTAGCTTTGATAGATGTTCTGAGATCACATTTGGGTAATTTTTAATATATTAGATGAAGGACAACTTTGTACACAACACACAACACGAGTTGAAAGCTTTGCGTTGGGCACAAGCAAAGAAGTTGTGGCTGTGTTCACCTGTCGAAGCTGCTGTATAAGGTGACTTTCAATAGTCTTCCTGCAAGGAATGATCAAAGGGTGATTCACCAGTGAGATAAAGATTTAAGGCATTCTGCATCTACCTCTTTGTATTGGTAAATGACCTTTTAGCAGAATCTGGAAGATATTTTTTTCCTCCCTTAATATCAGAGAAAAATGAAATGGGTTGAGAAATCTTTCTGCTTTCCAATTTTACCAGTTTTCCCCCCCAGATACTGTAATAATATAATTACTTTTTTACTTATGATAAAAATTTAACTTTGTTTTGATACTCTAAAAGTTGCTCAGTCAGATAAAATTGTTGAGAGACTTTTATAAATAAAACTATTTTCCTTAATAAAGAAATTCCAAGAGAAGAAATTTTTCTCATATAGTTTCGTATAGCTAATTGGCAGACCAGAAAATTCTATCACCTTATTTTGATTTTATACCAATAAAACATACCTTACAAACTCATTCAGATACTTTTCTGTATTTCAAAAGCAAACTAATCCTTTGTAAATGAAAAGCTGGAATGTAGGTATTTGTTAGCTGGTCAGTCCTATCATTCAAGTTTGAATTTCTGACACACAAATATTTGAGAGGGGCAGAGAATACCAGTATCCCCTTAATATCCATTCTTACCTTTTATTCTATCACAGTGATAGAAACAAACAAACAAAGACTACATTTCTCAGTGTCTCTTGCAGGTATAATTGTTTTTTGGCTGATGAACATGATGGGAAATGATTCTCTTTTTCTGCCTCTTTTTCTATCTTGTTTGAAATGTACATCTGGTCATGAACCATCTTGGATGCTGCCAAGGAGGCAGTACCCCATTGTGGAAGAAAACCAGACAGAGATTCTGGGTCCCTGTATACCTTTGTTGAAGTACCTCCATAGCAGATCTGACCTGCCTGACTCCAGACTGTTTGTTTTACAAAATACAAATCAGCTTGCTTAAGCAGCCTTCCTCTTCCATCCCTAGGGCTTTATTGTATATGATCTTATAAAGTGAGATAAATGACGTGGCATTTTTATAATGATTAGGGGTTTTAACAGGACAGTAGAAAACTTGCAATATAAGTAAAAGCAAATGTATTAACATTGTTCCTGATTTTCTGTCACTTTTCTCCCAACTTTTTACCTCGTAGATTTTTCTCTTGCTATTGTATAATACTTAAAAGGTTCCTTTATTTTATGAGTATTTTAAATATTCCTGAAGAGTTACTTCCTTTTGGAGTTCCAGAAAAGTCCAAAGAAAAGTTTGATTGAGAGATTTTTTTTAATCTGTATTTCTCTTTAGCCATTTGTTAACTTTTCTATTTATTAACTTTTCTGTTATTTGACACTGATATGTATTATCAGTTAGCTAGTAACTCCAAAATCCTAGTCCTTGAATATGCTTAAGTAGAAACATAGACAAATATTTTAGAAATCTTGTTCCTGATATGAATCAGAATTGGTTGAATAAGAGAGGAAGGAGGATTTTAAAAGCTGAAATTATGAATAAAATAGGCATGAGAATTACATGGATTTTTAAAAAAATTAATACTCAAAATGTTTTGCTACTTCTCAAAGGAGAATCTGCCACAGGATAACTTGCTAAACATCTGACATTGTTTTGGGGTTTCTTTTAATAGGTTAGCCTTTTGGCACTTGTCAGAGACAATAAAATCATTCAATCACATGGTTGTAATCTTAGTACAAAGTAAAAAGGGGAGAACTTGACCCAATAGAAGTAATAGTATATCTCAATAACAAAAGCCATCCTTTCT